ATCAAGACATGGACCTGGGGGGGCACACTCTTGCTCTCTCCCTCCCTCCCTCCCTCCCTCCCTCTCTTGTCAAATTAAATTCTTTTTAAAAAACATAAAAACCTGGTGACCAGGTTTCTTGGTGATTAGGGTGCTGGACTTCCACATGGGTGGCTGCAGTTTGAGTCCTGTACCTGGTGGCTTGTTCTCACTTTCTCTCTGGTGGGTACACAGGCCCTATAGCAAATTTTAAAAGTAGTAAGGCAACCTATTTTCTGGGACACCTCCCTTTTTCTTGGAGCTGTTTTTTCCTTCCCTCTCCTTCAATAAACTCTTTCTCCCCTCTATCTGTGTCTAATTCTTCCTGAGTGTGAGACTAGAATCCGTGCCCCACTGGGAGTGCTGGACCGATCACTCCTGTATCCCCGCCTTCCTGCATCACCATCACTGCACAGAGAGTGCCTAGTCAGGGTCTGAGTGCCTTAATACGAAAAGAAAGCTGGATCACTGCGTGTCTGAGGAAGGCCTCAAGATATGCAGCGATCAGAAGAAAGGGAAGTCAAGAGGAACAGCAAGATGAAGTAGCAGAAGAAAACATTTTAAACTCATACAAAACAGAAGAAAAAGATTGTCTTACCTGATAATATGTCCATGGAAATGAGCGTAGGATTTTACAATAAGAAAACGAGGGGGGAAAGAAGTTGGAGGGCACCATTGCACGACACTGGAGCGGTGTGAAAGGCCCAGGTTCAGATCCTGGGTGTGCCTGTACAGGCCTGTGATCTGGGCTGGCTAGGAGACTAGGGGAAGGGTAGCAGCATAACTCTGTCCGGATCCCTGTCTCACATGAAAGAAACTTAAAAGGCAAATAAGGGACCAGATGGTTTAATGGTTACATTGCTGGTCTCACATGGGTGACCGCAGTTTGAGTCCTGGACCCAGCGGCTTGAAACTCATTCCAGGTGTGTATGTGCATGCCCAAAATCCTGAGAGGAGAAGGGATTGTGGTGTGGCCATCCCCCTTGGGGGATGATTTCTCATTTTCTCTTACCTCTCCGGCGAGCACATGCTCCCTATAGCAAAATCTATTAAAAAAAAAAAATCTGTTAGGGGATCAGCATTTATCAAATACTTGACTTAATACTACTTCACAAACTCAGAAAATAGATTGCTTCCCAATTTATTCTATGAGACCAGTATTATTAACCTTATACCAAACCAAAGACATCACAGAAACAAAACTGCAGACAGAGATCCCTCATCGAAACAGAAGTCCTCAACCACATATTGGCAGAGCAAATCTAGTAACATAAAATCATCACATGCCATGGCCAAGTAGAATTAGTCCCAGAATGCAAGACTGGCTTAGCATCTTAAAATCAGTTGTTACAATATAGCATATCAATAAAATAAGCCGTGTTACCTCGACAAATACAGGAAGAAAGCAATCTAGCATCGCAAAGCTTCAACAAACTAGAAATAGAAGGACAATTGGCTTGAGAAAGGGTATCTGAGAAACTAACAGCTAGCACCATGGTTAGTTAATGAAGAATGAACGTAAAAGACATGCTTAAGATCTGGAACAAAGCAAGGATGTCTGCTTCTGCCACTTCTGGTCAGCACTGAACTGAATTTTGTTTTTGTTTTTGAGAGGTTTCTGATACAGGGCGCATGAGCTCGCCAGGATCAGCACTGAACTGAATTTTGTTTTTGTTTTTTGAGAGGTTTCTGATACAGGGTGCATGAGCTCGCCAGGAGAGAGACAGAGAAAGTGAGAAATCTCCTCCCCCCCCCGCTGGGGGGGGGAAGGAATGGCTGCACCACAATCCCTTCTCCATTCTCGGGATCTTGGGCACAACACGTGCTCGGCCTGAGTGTAAGCCACCGGGTCTGGGACTCGAACTGCAGGCGGCTACATGGGAGTTGAGCGACATAGCCATTATACTAACTGCTGGTCCCAGCACTGAACTGAAGATTCTCAACAGTGCAATTAGACAAAAGGAAGGAACTGGAAGGGAAAAGTGGATTTACATATGGCATGATTATGTATGTCAACAAATTAGGGAACACAAGTATGCATGCATGCACACAAATATTAGAACTAATACAGTGTCGAAGCATGTTTTATTTTTAGAGATCACAGGAGAGAGAGAGAGGGAAAGGCAGTCACCCCCCAGAGGAGATTGCCACACCGCAATCTCTTCTCCATTCTCCTGGGATCTTGGGGGCACTCACACACACATGCCCAGAGTGTTTCAAGCCATCAGGTCCAAGACTAGAACTGTAAAAAAAAATAATAATTTGTATTTCTGTATCAAGAAACAATATTAAAACTAGGAAAATTCTGTATTTACAGTAGCATTAAAAGGAACACATGGCTCAAGTCCCAGACCCAGCAGCTTGAAAAATATTGGGCACGTGTGTGTGCCCAAAATCCTGAGAGGAGAATGGAGGAGAGGGGAATTTTGTGTGGCTGTCACCCCTGTGGGGGGTACTTTCTCACTTACTGTCTCCTTCCACTGAGTGCACATGTCCTATAGCAAATTATATTTTTAAAAAGTTATATACAGAATATGCAAAGAACGTTGACAACTCAATCATGAAAATGGTGCGTTGAAAATGGGCAAAAGGTTTGAATAGATATTTCAGAGAAAAGAGTGACTGTTGAGGACATGAAGAGGTGTTCACCATTAAGTATTAGGGAAATGCAAATTAAAGCAGCATTGGCTTGAAACCAAATACCAAATATTGGTGAGGCTAGAAAAACTGGAACTCTCAAACACTGTTGATGGTAATGTGAAAATGGTACAGGCGCTCTGGAAAAGTTTGGTAGTTTTTAAAAAGTTAAACATAAATTTACCTTACAACCTGGCAGCAACAATGTGTCCACACTAAGATGCGTGTGTAAACATTCACAGCTTTACCCATGACCCTAAACTAGGAATAATGCTGATAAAGGATAAAATGTTAAAATGTTCACAAAGGGACAGCAGATGGCGTAGTGGTTACATCGCTGGACTCCCACTTGGAAGTTTGACCAGTTTGAGTCCCTGACCTGGTGGCTTCAAACTCATATCAGGTGCATGTGCATGCGTGCCCAAAATCCCGGGAGGAGAACGGAAGAGAAGGGATTGTGGCTTGGCTGTCCACTTGGGGGATGATTTCTCGTTGTCTTTCCATTGAGCACACACACCCTATAGCAAAAATCTTAAAAAAAAAAAATTAACATTTTTGTTTTTGGAGAGATTTTAACATATATTAACATGTATTAATATATCATATACTTACAATGGAATAGTTCTTCGCACCATGAAGGTACAAATTACTGATACATGGTACACTATACATGATACATTAGAAGGCCTAAAAAACATGCTAAGTGAAATAATTCTTAAAACAAACAAAAAAGACCCTATATTCTGGACTAGCAGGTGGCCTGGTGGTTCGGATACTGGATTGCCATGTGGCTGACTGCGGTTTGATTCCTGGACCTGGCAGCTCGCTTTTTCAATTTCTACTGTGAGAGTGTATCCCTATAGCAAATTAAAAGATAAAATCTTTAGAGAAAAAAGACTACATGCAGTATGATGTCACGTATCTGAAAAGGCAAAATTATAAAGCTAAAAAGCAGTGGTTTCCTAGGTCTGGGGTGGGAGCAGAGACTAAATACTAATGGGAAGGAAGGAAAAAAAAATTAACATTTTTGTTTTTGGAGAGATTTTAACATATATTAACATGTATTAATATATCATATACTTACAATGGAATAGTTCTTCGCACCATGAAGGTACAAATTACTGATACATGGTACACTATACATGATACATTAGAAGGCCTAAAAAACATGCTAAGTGAAATAATTCTTAAAACAAACAAAAAAGACCCTATATTCTGGACTAGCAGGTGGCCTGGTGGTTCGGATACTGGATTGCCATGTGGCTGACTGCGGTTTGATTCCTGGACCTGGCAGCTCGCTTTTTCAATTTCTACTGTGAGAGTGTATCCCTATAGCAAATTAAAAGATAAAATCTTTAGAGAAAAAAGACTACATGCAGTATGATGTCACGTATCTGAAAAGGCAAAATTATAAAGCTAAAAAGCAGTGGTTTCCTAGGTCTGGGGTGGGAGCAGAGACTAAATACTAATGGGAAGGAAGGAACATTTTTTAGCTGACAGAAATGTTCTTTTGGAGATAGCACAATCTCTAAATTTACTAAAAATAATTTAATTGTATAGTTACAATTATTTTTATGTCTCGTACATTACTCATCAATAAAACTGTTCTGAAAAACTGAGCTTATTGGGGAGGATCATATTGTAGAGGCACCTAAAGCTTCTTTATCAATTTGCTCCACCAAGGGTAGTATACTAGTTTTCCTAATTTGTGGATCTAGGTCTTGGAGAGTTGCCATGTACTTAGAGTATACCCGGGGAGAATGGAAAAAGCGCAAAACCATTCACGAGTGTACATAAAGGATTGAAACAACTTTGCTTTTTCTGACCCAGGAAGCCCCCCAGGTCGTCTTTGAGTTCTGGCGTTGTTTCTTCCAAGCCAGAAAAAACAGTAGGTGCAGCGGCTGAGTTCCAGCGTGGTGGTCGGGAACGAATGGGACGGTGTGGCTCGCGCGATGTGCGCCGTGCTGGAAGCGGGGTAGGTCGAGGCCAGATCGCGGAGCTTCGCCTGCTCCCTTCAGGACAGCAGTGAAGAGGGCAGGTCCAGACGCCAGTTCGCCGAGTTGGAGCACCACTTGTACCTGGTGTGGCTGCGCCAGTTATTAACTGCCCCAGTTCTTCAGTTCTTATCTATACACTGGGGAGAAAACTACTAGAATTATGAGGATTAAGTGTGCCAATATGGGTAAGGGCTTTACAGTAAACGCACAGTTCAGTGCTCGGCAAACATTAGAGGCTGGGAGTTCCTGCCGGAAGCTCCCGTTTCTCCTGCCTCCAGCTCACCCAAGCGTCCGGACCTCGGCAGTCACTATGGTAACAGCCACCTACTTCCGGGAGAGGTACGGCGTGCGGCGAGGGTCATTCCCAGCCGTAGCTTGCGCGAACGGACTGAGGAGTGGCGACAGGCAAGTGACACTCCTGGAGGTTTCATAGTGCCGCCTCCGAGGCCAGCCCCGGTGCTCCGCAGGGTCGTCGCTTCTGCGTTCTTGGTGCTGCCCAGAGCCAGCGCTTAAGACCTGGAGGCCAGGCCCGAGGCGGTGCCGCCATGGACTTCTCCAAGTTCCTGGCTGAGGACTTCGACGTGAAGGAGTGGATCAACGCGGCGTTCAGGGCTGGCCCCAAGGAGGCGGCGGCCGGGAAGGCGGACGGCCACGCGGCCACCCTGGTGATGAAGCTGCAGCTGTTTATCCAGGAAGTGAACCACGCCGTGGAGGGTGAGGCCCTCCCCGACGCCGGCTGGGCCGAAGTCCCCAGCCCGGCCTGGGGCGCCCGGTGGAGCACGCAGTGGGCAGGGACCCAGATCAGTGTCCCACCTGGTGGGAAAGTGGGCCCTGCCGTCCTGATCTCATCAGCGGGAGGCTGCTGGGGGCTGGGCTGACTTGAACCCCTGTTAGGTGTGGATGTGGGTTTTCAACCTCTGGAGGTGCCCTGCTTTTGATAGTAAAGCAAGTGAAATCATGAATTTTGAGAGTATTAAACAATAGTCGACTTATCCTCGTATTTGGCAGAAACATCCTAAAGGTGTAGGGGAATGATACCAATCTGGGAAACCTAGCTGAGGAACCGGGCTGGCCCAGATGGAGACTTTAACCATTTTAAACCATAGCTATTTATTAAAAAAAAAAAAAAAAAAAAAAAAAAAAAGCAAGTAACTAT